ATGACGTTGGAACGATAATTCGGGTTATTATATCCTTGATAATATTGATTTGAGCTTCTTTTTAGGTTTCTGATTTTTCATGGGAGGAGAATTCCAAGTTCTGGATATGAGTATAAACTTTTTCTATTGAAATAGAATGCACATCCAATATTTACGTAAACGGGTGTCCAGAGGGGAATATTCCAGTATTTCCTAGTGGAGTGATTTTTATGATATGTAGTGAGTTTTTCTTTTGATTTCAATTGGTAAGAAATTCTCGCAGTGAGTAATTTAGGATATTATTAATTTTATTCTTTATTTCGTGTTAGATCCAGTTTAGTTCTTGGTTAATTTGAAGTTATATTGTGATCTTCCAGATTTTGCAGATTCTATTTGTAATTTAATTCTTATTTCCAGGCATTCTTATTCCCAGTTAAATACATTTAGTGATAAGTAGATGTCATGAGCATTTTAAATTTTAGAATTTTCTGAGATATATTTGGATAAAACATTGTTCAAATGCTCAACCTGAAGTGATTAAATGATTATATTCGCGAATCGGTGTAGGTGAACGGAGTACCTTGGTCGCGAAACCTCCTAGTTGCCACATAAAAATAATGTCAGTCGGCTCAAGGCCCATAGTGAATTGAATGAACATTGCATAATTTAAACGAAAACAAAAACATATACAAAAAAAATTGAGAAATAAAAAATTAAGAGAGCAAAAACAATCAAAATGACAAAAGAAGCAGTACCGAAGTAAACATGAGTATTCACGCAGCAGCAGTATAAAAAAGAAAACAAACAATCAAACGCGCACTCAACGCGACCCTAAGACAAGCAGACCCAGGACCAAAGAAAAGGGGAAAAAGGAAAAACCCAACTGCTTGTTAATGTTCAAGACATGCTTCGGTCTTTTACGTGTGCATGGAATGAAAATGTCATAATGAAAAGTGTTTAAATCTTGGATGACAGAATTGTTGGAACTATGGATGGAGTCATAAAAATTTTTGGCAATTTTAGCAATATGTTCTCTAAAACTAGGCATGTCTAAAGAGTGTTTTATGTCTTTGTTTCTAAAGTACTAAGGTGCATCAGCTATCATTCTTATAACCTTGTTTTCTAGTCTTTCAAGTAGTAGAAAGTTACTTGGTGCAGTGGAGCCCCAGACTGGACTCGCATATGCTATTATTGGACGTAAATAAGCAAGAAAGATTAGTTTTTTTAATTTCCATGGTTAGTATGGAGTGTCGGCCTAAAACAGAATAAAAACTTTCTTAAATTATTATTGAATTTAGTTCTTAAGTAGTCAATGTGAGCTTTAAATGTTAGTTGGCGGTCAAGTATTACACCTAAATATTTAGCTTCTTTAGACCAGGAAATGTTAGTGTTATAAATAGAAACATTAAGAGAATTACGGTTATTTATCCTGGTAAATAGTACGGCTTCAGTCTTCGCGACGTTAAGTTTAATTTTCCATGTGTCCAACCAGATTTCAAGTTCATTTATTTAATTTTGTAAATTTTTCTGGATAATGTGTATTTTCCTCCCCTGCGTAATAATAGCTGTATCATCAGCGTAGAGTGTCAATTTAATCTTGTGATCTTGTGGTATATCATTGGTGTAAATATTGTACAAGAAAGGTCCCAAGATCGAGCATTGAGGAACACCTGCATTGATATTACAACTTTTTGAATCAACTTTATTTACGGAGACAACAAAACTTCTCTCAGTGAGATAATGCAAGATAATTTTATAAGAAATGGAGAGTACTGAAATTTAATCATTTTGTAAATAAGACCTTTGAGCCAAACTCTGTCGAAGGCTTTCGCCACGTCCAGAAAAATTGCAGCTGTATCTTGTTTACAGGAGAACCCTTCGCAGATGGTCTCAGTTATAGTAAACAATTGATGTGTGGTGGAAAGATCTTGGGTGAATTCAAATTGTTGTGAGATGAGAATATTAAGTTCGTGAGATTCTTGATTTAAAATGTCTGCGATGATTCGCTCAACAATCTTGCTAATAGTTGACAAAAGAGAGATTGGTCGATAGCTGTTCGGGGAAGTGGGGGTCCTTACCAGGTTTGATAATCGGAAGAATTCTTGCAGTTTTCCAACATTTAGGGAAGTAGCTGTGAGTTAGGATGGCATCAGTAATTTTGCATATTTGGAGAATAATTTTGTATGGAATATTTTTGATCATTTTGTTCGTAATACAGTCAATTCCCGGAGTTTTGCTGGTTTTAAGATGAGAGATGACGTTTACTATTGTAGAAGCTTTAGTTGGAGGAGCATCAAAATTTTGACTTTTATTCAGAGCAAGGAAGGACGTAATAGTGTTTTCCACTTCAGAGTCTATAGTATTGTTGGAGGAGGGGTTCTCCTGAAATTGCGCTTGCAGGGTGTCAGCAAGAATTTCTGCTTTATCTACATCAGTAGTAGCTGTAAAGTTGGAGCTTTGGAGATCATTAATTCTTGGTCTCTTTTTCCGATATCTGCTACAAATTTTCCATTCCGTCATCGACATTTGCAGTAATGATTACATTCTGGAGAAATAGAGCACTTTAGTAGACTTCAATTATGATTGGATAGTGTCAAACATTACTGATGTTTCTGTGCCGGAGATGGTTTCAAAGAAATCAAAGAACAGGGTACAATTACGAAGGAAGAAGTTAGAACAATTGGTGCTATTATATTAAAGATGTGGGCCTGAATGGCCGAGTGGCTACCGCTCTGGTGCTCGGTAAAACAGGTTTCGGGTTCGAGTCCCGGCGGTGCCATGGATGTTTGTAGTGGTTCGGAATCCACTTTAAAATGTAGGTCCCGGTCTAATATGATCGTAGTGCGTTACGGGGCATTGTTACTCCGCGTCCGTGGCTTATTTTCAAGTTACACACGCCCCTGGGTAATGCAAAGTGAGTACGCCTGTGCAGCGCTTGCCTTAAGGCATCCAAGACCAAGCTGTCTGAGTGTTTGCCAGCTGCATTAGAAAGAAAAAAATATTAAATATGTTTAACATACTGTAATCGAATACAATTACTATTGTTCGTACAGCGTCTATCCACGTTTCAAACTGGGCATTTCAGATGAACCTCTGAGTTATAAAACTTAGTTATACTAATTTTTAAAGATGACAACTTTTGTGTTATGAATCTGCTAATTTGAGGGCGATAGATGGTGACTATTTTAATTTTGCTATTGTTGATTGTTGAATAGTTTGCCGTATTTTCGAACTGTCTGTCGCATTTATAGATGCACTACTTTGGAGTTTTTGAATGAGTCTCAGCATGGGTGGTCAGAACCATGGAGTGATATGACATGTGATGCGTGATAATTAAAGAATTCATGGGGAAAATTAATTTTTCTTTGATACAGGAGAATTTTAAGAAGGCCCTCGGTGGTGAACAAGATTGATATGTCTGCTTTATTTCATACTTAATGTCGTTTTCCGTGATAAACGGGTTTAACATTTGAAATTATTTATCTTGATTCTTAGGATGTATGATTTTGACATTCCTGTAATGGAATAATTTCTTTGAAAACCGCGGTGAAATTAGAGAGCAATGTCTGCAACAATTTATGTTCAGTTGTTAAAAACGTTCAAATAGAGTGAAAAGTTCATAGCTAAAATTTAAAACTCTTTTCATATTAATCAATTTCGAGATCATATTTTAAGAATTTTTAAGGTATAAAGATTATGACCAATTTTTGAAAGAAGAAGAAAGCTTTTACTGGAAAGCAAAAGATTTGTTTATGTAGAATCAGTGTAATCTTGCCAGTCATTTTTTAAAAATAAGACTGTTTGAAACGCTGAAATATGTTTCAAAATGTCAATTACCAAAGAATAATAGACACAGGAGTTTGGAAATAGAGTATTTCATTAGGAAATATTTAACTGCTCATTTGTTGAAATGGAAAGCTTCATTGGTTTTTAAATTCAATTTAATCTGCGTATAGAAATTTTTAAATAACTCATGTTCGCAAATCGAACTAAAAAGTGAAAAATAAATTATAGTTTAAATGAACTAAAAAACACGCTTTTACAAATCTAAAAAAGTAAAAAATAATTGTTAACATAAGAATAAAGTTACTGACGAGAAAATTAATGTCAATGTTCTAAAAGCGTGGGATGCTCGATATCAATTGTTATAATTTTTCACTAGTTTTATTCCGAAATGCAGAGATAGTTTGTCGTACAAAGCACCCCACGCTTTTAGAACAGTGACATTGATTTTATTCTTATGTTAACAATTATTTTTTACTTTTTAGCTTGATTAACTCTAAAAGCGTGTTTTTAGTTTATTTAAACCATAATTTATTTTTGCTTTTTAGTTCGATTTGCTATAAAACAACCGTCTTTAATACGTCTGTTTTAACAGTTGCATCTCGATTTAGAAAACATATTCAAAGATTTCTATGTTGCGAATATAAACAGCGAGACATAGTGGTGTAACTTTATTTGCGAATAAGTCTTATGGACTGTTCTTAATCGAACCATTTCATCTAATGTTTCACTGTTACATGGGGTTCTTCCTGTTAGTTTTCAGCAATCAATTTCTTCAATTCGAATACCGCCCAAGGTTCTTCCACGACTAAGCGCTACATAAGTTTGTCCAGCAGCAAACAGTCTTGAGCCTAAATAAATGAGTGCATGATCAACTGTACCACCTTGAATCTTGTGGACGGCCGATGTCCAACTGAGGAATAATGGCAACATTCGTCTTTCAGCAGTTCCACAGCTGTATTTTGCTGGGAATTGTATCGATATTGGTTTAATTACGTGTACACCATCTGAACCGAAATCGATATACGGTGAAACACGAATCATATTAAGATGAAATCACGAATGATTAATTAAATCAGTTAAGGTTCCTCAGATCGTAATCACATTTACTGGGATAACTTTAGTAATTCTAGAATAATACGTGCAAACCAAACTAAGATGGACTCCGGGAAACCAAAGCTTTTGGGTTCCGGGGAAGTATGGTTGCACAGCTGAAACTTAAAGGAATTGTCGGAAGGGTTCCTCATTAAAGGATTTAAAGTGTATTAGTTCCGATTACAGGGCTTTAGATGAGTCCCGTATCGTTATTTTTCGCCACTACCTCCCCGTGCCTTTCTTGAGTGTGGTAGCCGTTTCTCAGGCTCAATCTCCGGAATCGAACCCTGATTCTCCGTTACCCGTTACAACCATGGTTGGTGCGGAACCTGCCAATGACAGTTGATAAGGCAGGCATTTGAAAGATTTGTCGTCGGTACAAGGACCATATGATCAGCAGAAAGTTCTTCAAAGTCGCCAAAAGTAACGATGGACGAGCCACCGATTGGTTTTGATCTAATAATAAAAGCGTTCCTTCCATCTCTGGTCGGAACTCTGGTTTGTATGTATTAGCTTTTCAATTACCACAGTTATCCAAGTAAATGTGGAAATTCAGCTAATTTTTAATAATCCATTTCGCGGTTTCACCTTAATAATACGGCTTGTACTGAGACTCATGGCTTAATCTGTTAGACAAGTATTTGCCTACTGGTAGGATCAACCAGGCAGCTGCGCACAAGCATGCGCAGACCGGGCTCTTGCTCTATCTCATTAGCTTTCCGGCAAAGGGACTCATATTAAATAAAACCACTAACCCCGGCGATCCTATTCAGATGAGATAATAAACTTAACAAAATATTTTATTGTCATGGGTCCTTGATAAGTCTCCAACGTTTAAATTAAATCGGATCGCTTAAAGTGGGCCAAAATCGAGCCCAAAGAGTCAGTTACCAACAAACAAATATACAGGTGAAACTAATAAAAGCGTGTTAAGAAAAAAATTATGTTAACAGGATTTCTGGGACACAATCAACACAACTTGAACTTTGCTATACATTATATAGTATATAATACCATTGCAAAGTGAATGATCTCAGAATAAGGATCCGTCCTTCAAAAACAACAATTAAAATCAATAGGAAGATAGTCTTTTGAGAAACTCCACGAAGAGTTTCTAACAAAATACTTGTTAAAATTCTCTGATTTAAAAATTCGAAATTTATGTTACTTTACGTTATTAATTAATTTTATATATACATACTTTACACAATAATGCTTCAAATTTTTACCTTACGATTTAGGAGTTATTTTAATTCTTCATAAAGCCAGAACTGAAGACATTCAAATCAAGCAATCAATCAGACAGCATTAGTCACAAAACAGAATCAAGTGAATTAAAAAAAAGTACAATATATATATATATATATATATATATATATATGTTATGAAAGAATCAATTCTATCTGACCGTATCACACTAATTCTGGACTGAATTTACAGTATCAAGGCTACGAAATTTGTATTATCTTTTGAAATGGATGAAAACCGAAGTCGAATCTTCCAATATCTTGAGCAGATAACTGAAGAAATAGAAAGACTATTGCTCTAGGTTCAGATGTTTTCAATTACTTGCAACAAGATGTGCATAGACATACAGAGCTCGATCCTGCAGAATTAACCGCACATGATTGTCGTTTAAGAAGTCAAGCGTCGACAACTTTAATGAACCAATTACAAGACCTCCGAAAAGTAACAGAGGAGTTAACGCCATTGTTCGACATGACTGTGTGCGAAGCAAGGACTTATTATCATAATAGATTATTGAATAGACTGGAAAAGAATGTAAAACGGAAAATTAGAAAATTATTGAACAATGTGTTATATAAAGAATCGATGATTGATATTTACAACTATGAACTGACATTTCGCCAAAACGTATTGAAGTTTGCAAAACGGGAATGATTTTATTTGGTCTCTCATTAAATGGCTCTTACCCTTATATATATAGCGTACTCGTAAATATGTATTATGATTGGTTTAACAGCTGAATTACGAGGTTTTTACAACAGTTTCGAACAGTATTTTTAAATTTATTTTTAAAGCAAAGCATTTTAATTGAATTTCTCTTTATATGGTAGAGATAATCTTGTTTCATTAAATAATATTTTATACGTATTTTTAACAATTTTTAAAAAATACATATTTTCAAAGAAATTGATCAATTTACCTTTTTATGAGCAGATTTGAAACTGAACTGGTGAATTTATTCTGTTCTGTAGTGAACTTGTGTATACTGTTGGACTGATGTTAAAATTATATTTAGAGCTTTATTAATATTATGAATTATTGTAAAATAACATTGCTTAAGTTTATCAAAATGTATAATTTTGTTTAGTTTAAATGTTTTAGATTTTTTTTTATACTTTTTAATTATTAAATATTTTATAATACATATTGAATTTTGTATATTTAGAGTACGGTTGTTTTAAATCACAACTGTGTTACAATGAAATCATTTGGATAAATAACTATATTTACTTTAAGGATTTGAAATTTGATGAAAATAAAATATCTTTTTTTAATATATATTTTCGTCACATTACTGGTTTATTTGAAACCATTTTGAAAAAAACCTAATAAAAGCCTGTTTTTTATATATTATGGAATCCAAAATATCAGAAAACGTGATGATAAGTATTAATATATCAAATTAGAATTTCAATTATTCAACATCGGCAATTTATTGAAAGGATTTTGGTTGAAGAAATTGTTTAATCTCCGAAAATATGATGTTAAGTGTTTGAAATTATATTATTTATATAGGACTTGAATTTTAATTGTATGAGTAATTAAATATTAATTTAACAGTTAAAATTTAATAAAGTTTGGAACAAAAAATACGCTCAGCCATTATGTATATTAACACAAATCGGAAGAATTGCGATGCTTTTAAAATTTAACACCATTATTTGACGTATATTATTTTTTATCGTTTTATATTAATCGATGTCACGCATAATTATTTTCGGTATAATTTTACCTTGAGTATTGTAAAAACTTGTAAGTAATTCTTCAACATTTTCAATCACATATTAAAAGGTATTACTTGACTTAATAAAATTATTCATTTTATGATGTGCTTTCTCTCAGTTCATTCCATAATAAAACATGCTGAACAATGAATTCCATTCAGAGAACCTTTGAAAAATTTAAAGTATAATTTTATTTAGAAAAATATCACGTTCTCTAAAATTAACTTATAATATTTAGTTAATTTTATTAGTTATAATAAAATTAACTAAATATTGAATTAACTAAATGTTTAAAATTAATTAAATTAACTAAATGTTGAATTATAATTATATATAATTCAACAAGAAGTAAGGATTTTATACAAAGTTTCTGTCAGCGAAATGATGGAACTAGATTGTAGGACAGGTTATAGTCGGATAATATATTTATTTACAATCCAGAGATTTCTTATTAATGTAACTTTACGATTTATTTAAGTTATAACACACAATTCTTCTGACTAATTTCTTGCATTTTTTTTACTTTAATACACATTTTTGCCCGGCAAATGTTCTGTTTTTGTAGCACCTAGAATATATTTAATAAATATGTTATATGTTTGAAGTATAACAGATTTATATGCACGGTCTACATTACTACAGATACAATTGAATATCTAAATTGATATCTCATTGTATTATGGAAAATTTGACATATTTTATCTGTTCCCAGCAGCACATATTGGTGAGAGCAACTATTTTCACCTTTATAAAGAAATAAACTGGCGGAAAGACATTTCTTATACACATGGAACAAATTTTAGAAATAACTACACTTCAAACAATTTATAAATGTGTTGTTTGGTGTGTAATTCATCAATGAAAATAATTCTATTGAAATTCTATGTAAAGAATGTAAATTAAAAAAAAAAAAACTCACTTGAACCTTGAACTTTGAACTTTGAACTCACTTTCCTGACATGTCTGGATTTCGTATATGCCTGTTTAATAACATTTTTAATAATAAAAAAAAAAGATCCTGTTTATTAGTGTGTATCAGTCTTGATAAGGTGGGATGTGAAGAATCGTTCATTTAAGCAGATTTTTAAATTATATTGGTCAATTAATCACTTATGAAAGGGTTAATACAAAGAAAATAGAGTTGTATTATTTTTGTAGTGGATTCCGTTTTGCCAAAGACTGTCAAAGGCTTTCTGCACATCTAAAAAGACACCTACTGTTATTGGCTTGTGTTTGGAACTTCTGATAGTGATATTTGTTACTTGATGACAGGTTGAGTATTTTGTAATACGCTTTTATTAGTTTCACCCGTATGTTTGTTTGTAACTGACTCTTCGGGCTCGATTTTGCCCTACTTTAAGCGATCAGATTTAATTTAAACGTTGCAGACTTATCAAGGATCGACGACACAAAATAGTTTGATAAGTTTATTATCTCATCCTGATTAGGATCGAAAGGGTTAGTGATTTTATTTTAACTTTTGAAGAGCAATTTAACCCATATAGAATGAAAGTACCTAAAACATTTAAACCTACGTGGGACAGTGGCACAGCGGATAACTCTCCTTTGTTTTACCCACAGTTAAATTATTGTAAGAACTATAATTTCAGTCCTCCGTACCGGGACCTCATTTAAATATTATAATTTAAAAACACTACAAAACACGCTTTTAGAGTTAATCAAACTAAAAAAGTCAAAAATAATTGTTAACATAAGAATAAAATGAATGCCCCTGTTCTAAAAAGCGCGGGGTGCTTTGTATGACATTTTTAAACTAACTCTGCATTTCGGAATGAAACTAGTGAAAAATGACATCGACTGATATCGCGAACCCCACGGTTTGAGAACAGTGACATTCATTTTCTCGTCAGTAATTTTATTCTCATGTTAACAATTATGTTTTACTTTTTAGTTTGATTAATTCTTAAAGCGTGTTTTTTAGTTTTTTTAAACCATAATTTATTACTTTCTAATAGGACGTTTGGTCTATAATTCTTAGATAACTTGGGATCGTGATTAAATTTTGATAAGAAAATATTACTAGTTGCTACCTAGTACTTGGAAAGTAACATAATTTGGTGCATTTGTTCAAAATGTGGTTAAGTTTAATATTGCCTTGAGGCGGATACACGGCTAGACTCTGCTTGGAAGAGCACCTGGGGATTTAATGATGTTGATTTGCTGCTTGTGGTTGTGACATAAATTGGAGTGAGGATGATGTTGAAATGTTGATTCAGGTTATTTTACCATCGACGAGATTGATTTGATCATCTCTTTAGGTTTCCAATTTTTTTTTTAGGATGTAGAATTCCACGTTTGTGATGAAGTAACAGCTCTTCTACTGAAACAGAATACTAAATCAAGTAGTTGCACAGAGGGTTAAAATTTTCGAGTATGTGTTATTGAAGTTCCTGTTGATGGCGTACAGTGAGTTTTCCTCTGGATTTCAATCCGTAAAAAAAAATCCCATAATATGTAATTCAGGATGTTAAAATTACTTTCTTTATTTCTTTTTTTGGTTATATTCAGGATATTTTATGATCTGCTAGATTTTATGGATTCTATTTTCTTTTACTTTAATTCTTGTTTCCAGGGTCAGTTTTGGTAAATTTATTTACATTTAAAGGATTTATTGGAAAGTTATTTTAATTTCACAGTACAATTAATTTAGTGATGAGTTGATATCATGAGAAT